CTCTACCCTTTGTCTACTTTCACTGAACCTCCTCTCCCGCTCCGAGAGGTTGGCAGTACAGGCACGGAGTAAGATTGGCTTACACTGCACAGCCCCAGGGCAGTGACAAACTCAGTCGTCTTCCCAACACAGAGGGGAGCTCCATATGGCCCAGCTCCATGGGGATAGGGAGAAGGGGGGATGCCTGCTCCCAGGACACCCCATGCACCAACACATTAAGCCTTGGTGCGAGGCTTTTCACTGAGATGTCAGGATTATGAAAAAGAAACGTCTTTCTCTATCCCGTAACGCCTTTTAATTAAATGTGCTTTCAAATCTATGGGAAGTATGATGTAAAGGAGGGTGAATGCATCATGAGATTGACTGTATAAATAGTTAGTCATGTGCCTTCAACCAGGAAAAAAAAGTGGTGGTTTTTTAACAGGACTTGGGGATTTTCTGCTTTCTTGGAAGCTTAGCACACTGCACAGCCTCCCCAGGATGAGAGATGTAAATGCCCCTTAAAGGAGAGATTTCCATCTCTTTAGAAATTAGCCAAAATGTGGTCCTAGAAAAGAAATAATCAGATTTTTTAACAAATAATTACTTGAACACAAGTAACCACAACACATTCAGTGGTTTTTCTGTTTAATAAGCAGACATAGGCCGTCTATTACCGCCACACCTCAGTACACTACACTCTCCATAGTCTAATAGGAGTTGTTCTACGATGATCTGAAAGTTCATTAAAAAAGTGCCACAAAGCACAGCAAAACCAGCACAGCCTTTCCTCTTAGTAGCCAGAGAGACACTTCTGATGGCGTTGCACAAAGACCCATTGTTTAGGACACTGCTCTCACAGGGGTTTCTCAGGCTGCTCTGAAAGTCACTACCAAGCCTGGCCAGTCAAATGGGGCAGCCATGGGGCAAAGCAGTCCTGGTTTTGAACTGCCCAAAACACAGTGGCTCCTGCCTAAGCCACTGAGCACTTCATGTCCAGAGCCACCCTCAGCCCTCTAAGGATGGGTGAGTGATACCACATCCACTAGTGGTGCCTGAAAACCTGCCCCAGCACAGCTCCCACACACTCTCTGCTTGCGATGGTTAAATTTCTGTGCACTGAAAGCTTTTCTGTCCCCGTTTCTGTCACACAGAACCATGTTCTGAAGATGAAATACACATTGCAGAGTAGGCATGCACAGGTCTCAAAAAGAAGGAAAACTTTTGGATCAGTGAAAGGAATGGATGATGCTGTCCTCTGTTCACAAACAGTGAGCCCAACCACAGAGGAAAGGTAAATGGCAACCTTTAATTTGGGTTGCTTCAAACAAACTCCCGAAGAGCTGATTTTACAGAGTAGTTTCTATTGTGTAAGCAGAACTATTGTTACTTTCAGTTCTAACTTCCAGTGCTCAAGACTTCTGCAGCTCAGTGCAGTAAGATGATGCATTTTGGGACACTGGAGCTAAGCAAACTGGCCTTGGTCTTGGAGGGACGATGACTACCACAGCAGAGTGCTCAGAAAAGCCTTTCCTCTGGACAACATAACCTGTGCCTTCTGGGCAAAAATTAATTGTCTCAATGTAAATTTTCCAGGGAATAAATTAAGTCTGGCACCACAAATCCTGCACTGCTAATTTCAGCACTAAAGATGAGTGCATGGGAAGTTCAAAACTGCTGAAACAGTCTGCCAAGAGAACCAGTGGAGATGTGATTTGTTATTCTTGTACCTGCAGAGTGACAACTGCTTTTACAGTTATATTTCCCCATAATCCTCTTTAGGTAACTGAAACAGGTTCTTGTGGTGGTCTTATCCCTCTAGTTTCATAATTGAGTGGAGATTTAATGGCGCAACCCAAGAGGCCTTAGGCACCACCTTTCTGGTGACAAGTCACATATCACAATTGAGACACAGCACTTGGGTTTCCTGCTCTCTTCTCCCGAATTAGAGAAGGGCTTGCATCATACATGGCTTCCTTATCTCCCAGGCACACCAAAAGCTGCCTCACTCTGTGAGGTGACTACTTTATGAGGGACCATCCACATCCAGGTTTCTCTGTGCTTTGGTACCTCCTGATTCCAGGGGTCCACTGTGCTGGCCACAGCGCTTTTGCGTATAGTAAAAGACAGCCTGTGCCATTCACAGATTTTAGTCTAGTAGGGAAAATATCACTTTGAGAGGAAGAATGTAGTATCAGCAGTTTAGAGATGGGGAAGAAAGGCAAAGCAAGATGGTGTGATTTCCTGAGGATCACCACAAGTGCAGACAAGCAGAGATGAGAACTGACCACGGGACTCAGGGGAAGGTACAAACCAAACATCCTCATTGTGGGCCGTAAGAGCAGTGGTAAGAGCACTGGGGAAATAACCCACAAAGTGACACATGTGGTTTAAATTCTCAATTATTTTTTTCTTTTCTGAAGAAAACAATAATTCAGTCCCAGAACATCCCATAACCCAGAATTGGACATAAAAAACCATTCCAAATGCCAGAAATGTGACTGGCACACCCTCTGGCAGTGTTAATAGGCTGGCCAGCACAATGCTCACCCACCACTTCTTCTGGCCTCCTTGGACACCTGTCAGTGGTATGGACCCCTGGGCTTTCTCAAGCTCAGGAGCAAAATCCATTTCTGCCTCGGGTCTTTTGAAATAAGATTTTGCATTGAATGGCTCTTCCAGTACAGATTTGGCAAATCCCACCTTTCATCTTATTTGAGATGAAAAAACGCAACAGCATTTTTTTGCTTTGACATACAACACTGTTCCATGAAAAAGAAATTCTCATTTCATGTCGTTCCTACACAGATCCTGCAGCTCCTCAGCTGCCAGTGCCTACAGAACAGTCACTGAGTGCTGCTACCACAGGCTTTATGCACAGTGCAGAAAACACACTGGCTTTTGGACCATTTGATAAATGGCACAAGGGCTCAGCTACCAACTGGTGTTGGGAGAAACTGCTTCATGGTGTGGCCATGCTGCTGCAGAAGATATCTGCTGATGTGGCCAACATGCTGCCCACCCTTCTGGCAAATCTCTGAAGAAGTAGGAAGACTTGGAAGCAACACATCCTGTCTTTGTCAAGTAAACAATTCACGAAAGAGTCACTGAAGGGAAGTCACAGGGGTATGACTCACTCCTAGTATAAAATCACACAAAGTATTCTGTTACATGGTACTGTAAGAGGTGGTAGCTGGATGTTGTTCCATCTTGCAACCCCAAGCTCACTTCTTGCTGTCACAGGCAACACCTCCCCTCAGCTCCATCCTTATAGGTTCCCTGGCACTTATCTTTCCTACCTGGCAGGCTTTGGTTTGTTCAAGCCCTTTGAATGTTTTCAGGAGATGGATGGTTGATGCCCTCTCCTCTGTGAACAAGACTTCTGCTGCCAGTGCTCCTTCCCCTCCCTCATCTTAACTCTCCTGCAATGGTGACAGCTCACTGCCTCCTCTCTTCATACAGTGCCACAAAACTTTAAATCAGGAGCCTTGCCAGTGGCTTTCCCACAGCACCAGCTACCAGAAAAGCAGGTGTCAGTTAAAGGGTTTGCTCTTTTCCTGAGAGGTTTTGGAGGAAAAGTGGAGGGAACAAAAAAAGAAAATAAGGTAACAAAAAATTCCAAGATAACAGAAATTAAGCATTTTGCTTCTGTCAATCTTCAGATTTTATAGATGCTTCCACAGTATTTGAGGTCTCTGTCAAAATTTTTGAACAGCTGAGACTAGCAATAGTAAACCATATTAAAAGAAAAAAAATCTAATGATTTTAAGTAAACACTTAAGTGTTCCCTGCTGTGGACCATGTTGTGAGATTTAACTTTGAAAAACCTGTACGACTTTTAAGATGCATGGAAGAAGTGTTGCAAGATGTGGTAGGAATATGACACCAAGCTCCAATTTTACTCATTTCTGTGCTCATCTCAGCAGCCCAGGAATTTACAAAGGTCTTGGGAAAAAAGTGCCAGTCGTGGCAAAAAAACCTAATTCCTTCAAGTGTGACTCATAACTGTATAGCTGGAGCTGAATGCCGGGAACAGCTTTCAAGTTCCAGACCTGAAGCTGAACTTGCCCTGAACTTGCATTTCACAGCAAGGGTGAGTAAGACCACTGGCTTTTGATGCCCACTAGGTTCAAATTTTTAAAATGTTTGCAGACCAACTTAATTGTATGTGAAGCCCTTCTCCTAAAGGGTCCTTGCAAATTCTTCCCATGAAAGGGAAGGACCCTTCTAAACATTCCCTTTACATACAGCAAGTCTACACCCCTAGTAAGAGAAGTGAAGCAGGGACAAGGTAGTCCCTGATATGAGTGAGACCAGAGCAGCAGGTCAAGACAAGGGCTTTGAATGGATGAGGAAGCAAATCCTCATCAATCAATCAGTGAATCCCAACAGGCCTTTGCAACCCCCATTTATAAAGTTAGGTGGCTTTCTTCAAGTACTAAAGTCTTTAATCTGAGAAAGAGTCAGAGTGGCTGCAGGGCAGCCCTTCACACTCTGTGTTTTTGCAGATCTCTAATGCAACTCATCTTCTCGGCTTTTCTTTCCCCCTTAGTTTGCCAGATCAGGGCCATAAGCAGAAACACACCTCACAGTACCTGATGAACTGGCCATTCATCTAAGCATCTGCCTGGGCAACAGCACTGAAATTTATGTGTTTAAATACTTCTCTGAAAAGAGACTATGGAAAATCTAGTGGAGGTGGAAACCAGGAGTGAATCTGTAAAAATGAATCTTACTTGGAACAATTCTTCAAGAAAAAGATGGAAAATCTCACAGTGCACAATGAGGAACTAGAGGTGGCTGAATACTTTTCCTTTTGGGCATGAGGGAAGCTTTGGACTGTGGAAACTGCAGCTGCCATCCTCCTTTTTTCAGTATTTGCTTTTCAGAAGAAGGGATAGTTACTCAGAACTTATTTCCCATGTATTTACAGCTCTTGCTGGATCATTATAGCCACACAGCTCAATAGGCAATGAGGTGAACAAAGCTTACTTCTTCCATAAACCTGGAGTTTGTCCTTGGATAATCTACTGTTGAAAATAGATATAGCTCTGACAGAAGCTCTTCCAGAACTTGGACCTTATGTTGTCCTGTGTGGTGGAGCTTAACCACTTCCTGATCTCTGTCTTGTGCTGTCAGCACTTTCATCTCAAAATTGTGGTAATTTGGAACCATTCCACTCTCCAACTGAGCTGATATCAGCTGTGCAAAACAGGTGGGGGGGTTGTTGTCAGTACAGAGGATATGGAGATGCATGCAGAGCAGCAGCCTGATTTCAGACTCTTTCTAACCCTAGAGAATTAACAGCTTTTTCATGTAACTGGTATTGAAATATTTTCTGGAAATTTGACACTTTTATAATTCTTTTTATTCTCAACATACATATGCCTTTTGATCTGCTGTTCCCCTTTACATGGAAAAGATGATAATTTGTAGCACCTTAGTAGGCTGTGAAGAAACATATCACAGGAACAAATATTGGCAATTTAGAGCAATATTTACCAAAATTTATTATTCAGCCACCTGTCAGTGAGAGCAGGAATTTATCTCTATTGTTAAAATACTGCTCCATGAAGCCCGTATTACAGTCTGAAAACTGATGAACATTTAATAGTAACATTCACACTGATTTCAGAATAATTCCTTTTGTTGCTCTGTATCTGCAACAAAAACCTGGCAAGGAATTGTCATCTCACCCCTCTGGAGATACTCTGTGTGGCTGGAAGACTTCAAAAGACCTGCAGTCACTCTGCTCCAGCCCTGCCACTCACAATCATATTTATATTCTCCCATACTTACATTCACTTTGTATTCATACATTAATATGTGTATTTTCTACCTTAACAACATCTCAATCCCGTGTCATAGAGCTGCTCTGTGCTATTCCTCTTTGTGCCAGAGTCACTGGAAGAACTGCTCAGTTTACTGATGAGGACACCAGAGACAGACCCAGAGAAGCCAGCTAACAGCAAGCTTCCCTTCCCTCTCACTGCAGATAATTGCCTAGACAGGAACCTAAGCTGGAAGTCAGACTGGATCAAAGAACTGAAACCCCTGTGCTAGGGGCTTTTCCTGCCTCTGGATAAAGACCAGATCTTGTTTCTCTCCCACCTGGTGGACCTCAGTGCTGTACATGGGATGTTGTGATATTGCCTGGCAGTGGTAGCAGGTACCCAGGAGACCACAGTGAAAATGCCCCCATCCTCCCTGGAAGGACCTGACCAATGTTCAGGAAAAAGAAACCTTGCTTTGATTCTCATCCCCCGTTTGAGGTGTTCCACAAAGAGTGTGCTTACATGAAGCTGCTACATCAGACAAGAGAAGTAAGTACAAGACATTAGATGACACTTGAAAAAAACTCAGTCTTGCTTATCCCCTCTCTTGGGTGGGATCCTACCTCCTACCTCCAAGATGGGACAATACCTGCACAGAATCAGTAGAGATGACAAAACCATTTTGACAAAGCACTGGAAAAAACTACCCTAGGGACCATACCTACATCAGATTTTGATCCAAAGCACTATGGATTTTGTTTATTCTGAACATGAAAATGCTACCAGATGCTTTAGGCTTCACCCACAGGGAGGACATCCAAACCCTTCTGGGCTGGAGCTGGCCAAGTGCAGACCTAAAACCTGACACAGAGCTGGCTTACTGACAAGGAAAGGGAGAACATCCAGGAATCAGAACATATACTGATAAGCAGTTTTATAAGCCAGCCAGCAGTATGTGCACATATATAAGTAAAATAAATATATATATAAGGAAATATTTTTCTGGCTGCCAACGTGTTTATATGTATGTTTCTTAAATATGATTTTTATTTATGTGCTGAAATTCAATGGTTGCACAATAACCTTGACACTGAAAACACAAACCCAGTTATATACTAATATTATTCGGTGGGGAAATCCATATAAACAGTTTATCTTTAAGTGTTTATAGTAATTCTTCCGTAAGTGAGGCAAGACTGAGGACATCAATCCAATTCAGTAACATCTCCTTCTTAGTCATCCAGCCTATTAATATGTGGGGGTTGAGGATACCATCCTGCCCTTAGCAATGATCATCTTAATCTTTGTGTTGGCGGTTTATTTGGATAACTTTAATAGGAGCAGCAATTTAAGTACATCACTGAGGACAAAGTCTTGACTAGTTTTTCACTAGTTGCTAGTCTTATTTGGATGAGTAAAGAAATGCAATAAAAATATGGTTCAGTTTACTGTGATGATTTTTTCTGGAATCCTATTGAAGTATTGCAGCCCTGCACGCATCCCAAAATGGAGCTGTCCTGACTCTACTGTCAACTTGGATAGCGCTATTAAAAGGATCAGAGTAGGATCTTGTTAAGAGACCCAGGAGACATTCTAAAAAGAGTGCTCAGAAAACCACAGATGGGGGAAAGGTGCTGAACTGCAGATGTGTTTTCTTGGAGCTTTGTGTTCACATTCTACCCTCTCCAGAGCAGAGGTGGCAGCCAAAGAGGGTCTCTGATCTCTTTTACCGCAGGCTGCTGCCTCTTCACTTGGCCAAAATTTTCTTCTTTTAAGATCCAGAAAACCCCTGCTGGATAAAGCCCCCTGGAGACAATGCCAGGCAGCAGGTAGGCCCTCCTCTGCCCCGGGGCTGCCAGGGAGCAGCACAGCACTGTGCCCAGGGCTGAGTCCACCTGAGTACAGCCTCAGTCAGCTTGGGCACAAACCCAAGTAAAGCCTGGGGCACCTCCAGTTTGGAGAGTGGTTCAGGCAGACTCCACCTCTCCACATCACAGGAAGACTGCACAAAAAGAGTTTCAGGTGTCCACTTTGGGAATTTGACACCATATTTCTATTTAATTATTGCTTTAGTCCTGTTTTACCTCTCTTTCGATGTTAACCCCTGTTAGCACAGGAGTACAAACCAAACATTTTAAAAGACAGTATTTTCATGGCATCAGCTCAAGTATTCAGAGTTTAGGAAATATCAGAATGCAAACTAATTTGCAAACACTAGTTGTAGTTCTAGTTATTTGTGTGTGTGTGCACCCTGATATGCTATGGCACATTCTCAGGACACCAGGTCTCATTTTCTGCACAGCAAATACATCCATTAGGGGTAGATCTGATCCTGTAAGAAAGGAAGATTCTAGTCTGTCTGAGCTCTACTACATTTCCTACAGAAACTGGGACATATGTGAAGCACAGAACAACTGACTCCAAGCTCTTAGTAAACTCACAGATGGATGACTTAAGGATAGTTTGATCATTTTAGTTTTATCCCTCCACAAACAGCATATTTATGTGTTGTTAAGCAAATAACAAGCCCCAAACCTTTTAGAAGTGGCTGCTAATTTTACGTTCCTCATTCTCTGACTTGAGATACTGAACTAATTTTTACAGCTACACAGATCCATAGCTGCAGGTTAGACGAAAAGGTCGTTTTGCACACTAACAAAAAAATAAAAATGAAGGAACATAATCATCCTCGCCCTGAAAGCCACAAGGTCGTGGAACATGCAAACATAGAGCAAGAGTATGACCAGTGAATAAAAGCTTGCCTTGATTTCTGCGCATAGGAACCAAGTCAAACCTGCACAGACAGCTGTAAGGTTGTTTCCCGCTTTGGGAATGCTCAGCTCATCAGTCTTTACAGTAATTGAACACACAGGTGCAGTCTGTGGTATTTAACAGATTTCTGCTTTGAATTTGATCTTTGGACAGTGGCCATTACTAATCTCAATTTTCAGTTCTTTTGGAACATTGCTAGTATCAATATTAATTTGACATATTTCACAGAGATTCTTACACAAAGTGTAAGAAGATGTGCACAAGGACCTGCTTACTTAGCATTTATAAACAAGAAAACAATCATCTCTGATTTTTGACTCATACTGAGCAGGAAGGATATTTTCTTTTCCAGAGGAAATTAATAGGTTACTATTTAATTAACATGCTCAAGAATTTCTCTCTATGTGTATTTCTCTTTGACCACACACCTGTTATTCGCTGTGACCTACTATAAGTCCACTAAGGAATGCTTTTTCACCAGCATCCTCATTCCCATGTAGCCCCATGTGCTGTCCAGTGTTTCCAGCTGTTGCATTTGGACTATTTGCAGGTCTGCACTATTAACTGTGTTTAAGTCAGTCTCTTAAACAGAAAGAGCTCAAGGTTGTTCTATAATCTCAGCTCTAAATATAGACATTCATTCACAAAGTAAAAGACCCATTCTTAGACTCTACTTTCTGCTAAACTCCTGATACTCAGGCACCTAAAATTAGACTAAATTTTAAGTCAAACTACTTAACACCACTCTCACATCCCACTCAAACCCAAAACCCCAATGTCACACCCAGACACTGATGACACCTTTCTAGATGTGAAGTGGCAGCTGCCTGTTTCCCTTGTAGTTTAAATGGAGTCTGTCCTATTGGCAGAGGCTTCATCCAGGCCAAAAATACCACTAGTCCCTGATCAAGCAGAATCCTTCCTCCTCAAACTATTTGCAGAGCCAAACGTCAAAATTTCACCTCCCTTCTTCCCTGAACCAGCCCTACAAGGATCATGTCAAAGAATGCAAAAAAATCCGTGATAGTCTTTTCCACTAGGACAACCTGGGATTCAATGTTCTTTTTCCTTGACAAACACAGCCCAAAGCAGTTGGAAGCAACTTATTGTGGATGCACTACTCAAACCCAGGGTGACTGTAAATCACAGGCACGGCACTGCAGCACCAGAAGGGATAACTTTTGGATCGTAACTGCCAACAACAACAGGGATGGGTTTTTGATCCCTGCAGGTTCTCATCTAGAGCAGACACGGTGCACAAACCAGGAAGAGTTACTCCTTTGGGATAGCATTTGCTTACAGCCCACCATTTGCATTCAAGTTAGGACAGGTATCCTTTCAGTTGGCTACATTTCACTTACGTCAGAGTTCTTGTTCCAAGAAGAAATTTAATGCTTAGGGCACATAGAAAAATCAGCAACTTCAGCAGATACCCCCCGAGGTTCCCCTTTCGGATCCCGATGAGATCAGATTCACTACGTTCCTCCATTCACTATCATATGGCTTCTCTGAAACTACACATGAGAATCAGACACCACCAAAACTTCACAAATGATCTGCTCCTTTGGCTTGTGAAAGCTTATGACCAAAATAGATAACAGCATAACAAGTGATTGTGAGACTCACAGACAGTACCGAAAGAGAAAAACATACTGCACTTCAAACATAGAAGCTTTCTATGTTTAAATATCAGGTCTTGGGTTTATTCAGCATGAAAATGTCTCAAATACTTCACACCCTGTAATGTAATGACTAAGACTTTGATTGCAGGACAGCGCATAAAAGAGCTGAAATTAAAAAACCAAACCAAACCAAACCAAGAAACCAACAGAAATTGGAAATCACCTTGTATTTCTAAGCCTTTTCAGAGCTTTCATTTGGTTTTATTTTAAAAAGGCTGGTGGCTCTGAAACAATACCCAAATGGACATGACCAAATTCCCTGTCTCACCTTGCCTTTTATGGCTCAAATCCATCAAATACAAATTATTACATTAAATTTTCAGTGTACTTATGTAAGACTTTTAATTAGTTTTAGGCAGGGGATATTTGAAATAGTGGCAATTTATTATCCTAAAATGCCATTTTGGCCAGTAACAAAAGCATTGTCAGGGAGATGGTGGCAGACCCTGATAAAGCAGTAATGTTTTTATCCATCTCTACAGCTGAGGCCTAGAGCTGGCTCTGAACCAAGCAAAGAATTTGTGCCAGGGAATGTTTTTTCCATTTTTGTCCCTTGTGTATCTCAAAGCTTTCTTCCCAGTACTGCTGGCCACAGAGAGATTACTTGACTAGGCGTCATCAGTCAGAGGGCAGAAAAAAATTCTCTTTGTCTGGTGAGACAAGTCTTATCAAGACAGAAGATTTATATATAAAAAACCCATCACTTTTAACTTGCAGAACCAGGTCCTCTCCAACAGCCTCAGCAGAGTTGTCCTAACTTATACAGGCTGACATCTGCTTCATCTAGAAAGCTTTCAGGGGAATGCAGCAAAACATCCTCCCCTTGCAACTTGAAAGTTGCTGAGAGATATACTGGTTGTACCTTTGCACCTGGTTGCAGACATTTATATTTCTGCCCCATTTCCAGCCCAGCACCATCCCTGGCCTTCCATGCAAGGCAGGGTTCAGTGTGTTGGTCAGGTAGAGACCTGCATGGAGCAAAGGAGACACTTGCATAGGCATGTCCCTCAATGACCTATCCAGTGGAGCTGGACTCATTTCTCATTCATTGTCATAAAACCTTCATTTAACACTCCCACACCTTCCTATTGCTGGAGTCCTCAGAGGTTTCCAGCTTGCTTTGCTCATTGGGATCAAGCTGATGCAGGAGCAGAAGCCAGCATGTGATTCGGGGTACCCTAAGGCAGGAGGAAGAGATACAGGCAAAGGGAGCAGCAGGAATAGCCTGTAGGAGAGAACAGATTGCAGACTTGGGCATATCCTAAGGTCGAAAATAGGGACAAGACTTTGTTCCCTGTTAAAGAAGGGAAAGCTTAGGCAGTTGCAACAGGATTTGTAAGGACCTTCCTAAGGACACACACAGCTCTCATTAGTATGCCAGGCTTCAGAAATTAAGGCTAAAGAAGTACCTATCTTTCAGAGTGAATAGGAGTCTTTTACAGCTGCAACACAGTACGTAACAGAGACTGCAGAAACATTTGTGCAGTTCAGGAGAGTGAAAGCAGCTCATATGGGGACCTTTTCACTGTCAGAGGGAGTCCAAACTCAACAACTTCTTAGGGTCTTGTGGCAGCAGGGTGGGCCTCAAGTGTGAGAGCTTCTGAGAGAAGGGATCGAGAGCTGCCCCCATGTTGGACAGAGACAGTTCCAGCCACCTCCAAAACAGACTCACCACTGGCCGAAGCTAAGCCTGCCGACAGTGCTGGTGGTGCCTCCGTGATAAAAAATTTAAGGATGAGTAAAAAGCACTGTGCAGCAACTATGAGAGAGAGAAGTGAGAAAAATATGAGAGCCCTGAATGCAACAAGGTCAGTGAAGGAGGGAAGGAGGTTCTCCAGGTGCCAGAGGAGAGACTTCCTTGCAGACCATGGTGAAGTGGGTCGTCTGCCCACAGTCCATGAAGGACCCTAAGCCAGAACAGGTGGATGCACCATGAAGCAGTGCATAGAGGACTGGCAGGACCTGAAGCCCAGAGAGATGAGCCCACACAGGAGCAGGTTTTCTGGCAGGAATGTGTCCTGGGGCCATACACCCACGCTGAAGCAGTCTTTTCCTGAAGGGCTACACCCTGTGGAAGGGATCCATGCTGGAGAAGTTCATGAAGCATTGCATCCCATGGGAAGGACCCCATGCTGGAGAAGGGAGACAGTATGAGGAGGAAGAAGTGGCAGAGATAGGGTATTATGAACTGACTATAACCCCTATTCCCCATCCCCCGGTAGGCCTTGACGAGGGGAGGGGGACAGAGGAGAGCAAAGAATAAAGTTGAGCCTGAGAAAAGAGGGGGTGGGAGGAAGATTTTTTAAATTTTATTTTTATTTCTCACTATGTTATTCTGTAATTAAGTGGAAATAAATGAAAGTAATGGTTCTGAGGTCATGTCTGTTTTGCGTATGACAGTACTTGGCAAGTTATCTCCCTGTTTTTATTTTGACCCATGAGCTCCTTCATCTTATTTTCTCCCTATGTCCTGTTGAGGAGGGGGTTGGAGAGCATGGCAGAGTGGGCACCTGGCAGACAGCCAAGGTTAACCCACCAGAGTCAGCAAAATGTACACAAATCCTTAATCAGAAAAAGATGTGTTTTCCCTCATCTGAACAATGAGATAATTCAAGTCACGTGGAGATCATGCTCTCACTGGGTTTATTTGTGTCCTTTTGGTATCTATGAGAGACTTCTCTAAATTCAGGGTATGGAAATGTCACATCCAAGGGGGATGAAAAATAAGACAATATGTATTTTGAAGTTTTAGCAACATCTCAATAGAAGCACAGGGACGGGTTGGAATTTTCTGCCGCCGTTAATGCCTTTCTGCATTATTGCACAATTTGTTATGATTATTTGTATTCTGTGCCAACTACTTCATAAAATGCAATTA